CGACAAGTGGGTGAAGGGAGAGCTGTTCATCGTTCCGAAGCCCATGCAGGGATACACGGTGCACATGACCCTCAATCCTGAAGCCAGTGATGTTCAAGATACTTCCTCTCATGTTGATGCGGACAGCACAGAACATGCCTTTCCCGCGCAAGGTAAATCAACGAATGCCGAGAAGGATTTCATCAACGCCAAGATCTTCTATCCCAAGAAGATTCACTCCTTCGTTGAGAACTTCTTGAGTGCGGAGCCTATGAATGCTGAGATCTTTGTTAGGTGGTGGTCACAGACTAAGCTCACGAAAGATTTCTGGATTGAGACCAGTAGCTCACTGATTCGGATTCATGTGGTGCCACGGAGGGGTCTTTTCAATCCGAGCTCATGGGTCACTTCACAAGTCGAGGTAAAGGAGAAATTGTTGCGGGCTATTGGGTGTGTCCGGAGTACAAGTGCAGTAAGCTGTGAATCGCATCATCCTCTTCAACCCCTACATGATTTGTGGGAGGATAACAGTGAAGGAACTCTTCCTACGTTGTGGATTGGAAGGACAATCTTTACTCGAGCCACTAGTGCATCTCAGGGCCCATCACCTGTTCCTTCCGTTGCCGCTGCTCCTTCTGACCATGGCCACCCAGAGCACGAAGCCCAAGGGGATCTGGGAGATGACCAAGGTGGAGCTTTTGGAGCGTGCGCGCAGCCTGGGGTGCCTGGTGCACCCGACGTGGACGGTGGGAGAAATCAGACAGGTGGTGTCGGAGAAGCAGCGCCAGTTGACGGGCGAAGACTCAGTCCCCAAGGGTCTCTCGAGTATGACGCTGGCCCAGCTCAAGACGACGTGTGCGGAGCTACAAGTCGCCATGCCCTCGAATCCTACCAAGGGCCAGCTGCTTCGATTGATCAGGGACCACACTCAGGCCCCAGGGAACACAGTCGTCCCTTTCGGACGACATCGGGGGAGGCTCTTCTCGGAAGTACCGGAGTCATATCTTCGTTGGACGATAGAGGAAACCCGGCGCAACGGGGACAATGCCTCGCCCGACTTGATCCGCCTCTCGAACTATGCGAAGTCCCGCCTGGAGCCGCAGGAGAAGGAGATGCCCTACGATCCGGAGTTCAACGCCAAGGTCCCGTATGTGGCGTCCGAGGGCGAGGAGATCTCCAGTCTAGGAAGCTGGTCGATGGCGATGTCACCAGAGGGGATCACGAAGGGGAAAGGCTACTCATCCCCGAACAAGGATCTGCCCTTGGCGCCGAAGTCCATGGCCAAGCGGAGGAGTTCCGTGGAACGCCAGGAGAAGAGCAGGATGGATCAAGACGTCCCAGACGATGTGAAGGAGGAGCTGGAGTCACTTACGAATCGCCTGGCAGTTCTCAAAGATCGGCATGGTCTCTAGACGAAGAGGGGACTGACTATGAAAACGAGGATGGAACACCGTGTTCATCGGTCGAGGCCGAAGCGGCTACTACAGATCGGGTTCGGGGTGGTTCGGATGGGCCAGGGAACCAGAAACTTTTCAGCTGCTTGGAGTCTCAAGATGACCCCAATGCGATCTTCTTGGTTGATGATCTTGCTCGCCGACTTTGGCAAGAAAAGAATTTCGATCACGATGTGTGCAAAAGACTTGTTCAACGGGTTTGTCTCGAATGTCAAGCAGCTCGCAAGAGGAAGATAAACGAGGGCACGGCCAGCGTAGCATTGGGGGCTTACTCACATGGCAATCATTATGGTGTGATTAAGAAGTCGTACATGTACCCGAATGTCGCCCTCTACATCAACAAGTACATGAAGACACATGGAGCTAAGGGGCAGTGGACCTCGTTTCAACTCGGATGGAATTGCCCTACCGGTCCCCATAAGGATGTACACAACCACGAACGATCCTACAACTGGACCATCTCAGTCGGTAGCTTCTCTGGTGGGAGGTTGTGGTTGGAAACCAACTCGTCCGAGGTCCTCGATCATCCTCATCTACGTCAACCAGTCGACCTCGCTGACGGGACTCAGGCCGTCGGTGAGGTGATTGATACTAGAGAGCGGATGTATCACTTTGATCCCAAAAGACAACACGCCGTTGAAGCTTGGTCAGGGGACAGAGCCGTGATTACCGCTTACACGACGAGGGGCATAGGTCAACTATCACGACAAGAGCGCGATGTTCTCAGGAGTTTCGGCTTCCCCATCGGAGTTGATTCCCACGGACCTCGTGATCCCGCGTCTGAGCCTTGGGAGCAAGAGCATCGTACTAGGCCCAAGAAGAGTGTTCGTCGGAGTCTTTGGAAAGGAGCACAGCGAGCAAGCGCTCTGTTCACTCTTGGTTTGGCAGCGGCTACTTCTTTCCTTTCAGAAGTGTTACCTCGGGGCCATAGTCCCGAGCATGCCACCTTGCTCGAAGTCGGTGGCTTTGACCTCACATGTGATGCCGTCGAGAACGGTGATACAGTTCTCGAACCGTTGTCTTGGAATGATTTCCTTGATGGCACCCAGGTTGAATGCATCGACGAGAACATCCTCACCCTGAAGCCACATGTTGTGTGGATACAAGGACGGGGGAAAGGAGCTGAGGCCACTGATCGATTGCATCAAACTCTTGAGTGTCAGCTTAGCACAGGGGGAATGTTCGTGTACCAGGATCATGATGGCGACGCATTCTGGGAGACAGATTTCTTCAGGATGCTGAAAGAGACATACAAACATTCCTTAGCTGAGCGTGAAGGCGACTGGATTCTTCGTGTCGGTGAGCGATCCAGTGAAGTTGTGCACAATCTATTTCCCCAGGAAGCCCAAGTAGCATCCCATGAGGACCCCCGTGGCTCCGGAGAACATGTTCACAGCCCCGCTGCCGAGATCAAGTTTGAGGGTAACGTTCCCAAGCACGTACAGGCTGCACTTACTCGTCTTCATCAAAACTTAGGACATCCTGCAGTGTACGACATGGCTCGTCACCTCAGGT